CCTGGCAGCTACTTTGACGCGATGCTCTCAAGTGATCACTGGCTGCCAAATGAAAAAGGTAGAGCGTCATCTGTACTATTCTCTTGTCCGCACCTGTGGCTATGGTACTGATGACGGACCTTCGTAGGCGAGTACTTTCTGGATTTGGACGCGAGTACGTTTAAGCGTGTGATCAAGTACCTTCGATCGGGTACACTGGACGTTGACGGACTCACTGCCAATCAAGAAGCGGATGTACGAGAGATGCTCGACTACCTCCAGATCCAGATCGAGAGTCCGGCGCCAGAGCCCTCCGCGCCGACCGCGCCATTGCAGTGGGATCCACGCCGGTGCTCCGACACGATTCAACTTGCGGACGGCAATACGCTTGCCAAGCACCCCAGTCGTGGCTGGGCCAGTGTTGTCGCGTCGCAACCTGTCTCGACGTTCGCCGTGCTCGTGCATCTCGGTCTCCACGCCGTTGAAGTCGGGTTTCTCGACGAGACGGTGCCCATGCCCGACCGCAATGACGCGACCCGCGGCTGGTTCTTCAGTTGTCGCAACGCCAGAGTGTATTCGCACGACGAACCTCGGTCCGATAGCCTCCTTGATACAAAGGCGCCGCGGCTGGCGTTTCTTCAAGTTACGTGGCACCGCCTCCAGCGGCGCATCACGTTTGCGGTGGACGGCGTGTTGCTCCCGATGGGCTTGCACAACGTCGTTAGTGACGTCGACTTGTACCCGACTGTGCGTCTCTTCTCCGCTGGATCCAACGTACGGCTTCTTCTCGTGCAAGAATAAGGATCGGTGCCGACAATCGACAAGTTGGTACGCTAGTCAATTTTCTATCTTTTTGGCCCAAAAGATAATGTTCTCGTCCACAAAATTCGGTGCTCACAAGCGGCAATATGGCCGCTCTGCTGTTCAGGCACCCCAAGGTCCACGCGCGCATGCATGTCAAAGAGCGCGTGCCAACGCCACGAAATAGATAGATCATGCCGGCCACCAGCATCTAGAGCAACCTCCAAACCAGACAGCGTCATGCTGCATACCGGTAGTAGTATGTCGAGAGGTTGAAATGACTGCAGGTTTTTGGTCGCGTTCAGATTTTTCACCGAAATACATGGATACTAAAATGTCCAAATGCCCAGAATTATCTGAACTTGGCCTAGTAATGTCGTCGAATCGGTC